GTCTCTGTCTGGCGAGCGCATGAGCCCTATAGTGAAAACCTCTCAAAAAATAAATAAATAAAAAGAATTTACACTTAGATTTTCCACTGCGCAGGGAGTGGCCCGAATCCTGTGTCCCATCTTTCTGTGTGCCACATTTCTTTGACAGTTGGAACTTGAGAAGACAATAGATTTGGTTCCTGATCTGTGACATATTTACATGCAGTATGTAAAGACTTACAATCCTTCCATTGTTTCCTTCCCCCACCTCCCCACCTCCCACCCCCTTCCTAGATTTAGATTATTTTGAGATGTTCTGTAGTTTTCTCAAGTAAAAGCAACCTCAGGCTCTCCCATAGACAGTGTTAGGGCACAGGAAGTAGAAAATGCTGCCTCATAGGGTCACCTCCAGACCTGGCTCAGATTCTCAGTAGAGTGTTGTTTAGGCAGGGGGCAGCCTGCTCTAGTGGCCACTTCAACAAGGTCTTTTGCATGGGGATGTTCCAGGAAGCCACGCTTCCAGGGTCCTGCTTGTGGTCCCGGGGCCCTGGGCTGGACTGCGTCAGTCTTTACTAAGCCTGGCACCATTTGCCTGTAAGTGGGGGCATTTCTTTCTTTCTTTCTTTCTTTTTTTTAGAGTTTTTTTGCTATAGGGCACGTGCGCTCGCCAGAGAGAGACAGAGAGACAGAAAGCGAGAAATCACCCCCCGCCCCAGGGGGAATGGCCACGCCGCAATCCCTTCTCCATTCTCCTCTCGGGACCTTGGGCACACACGCACACGCGCCCGGCATGAGTTTAAGCCACCGGGTCCGGGACTCGAACCGCAGTCGACTACGTGGGAGTCCAGCGACATAGCCATTACGCTAACTGCTGGTCCCGTGGGGGCATTTCTGTACCTGCTGTCTCAGGCTATTGCTCTGTTTTGATTTGGAGGGTGGGTGACAGGGCTGAGCTGTGGTGTGAGCACAGGAGTGGACAGAAGCAGTGTTAGCCTGAGCATCTGCGCGTTTGACCCCTTGCATCGCTTGCAGAATCAGAGACAACATGGAGATGGAATCTAAGGACGATGCATGGCCTCTTTTGGTGCTCCTTCTCCCATGGTTGTTCTGCGGGGACCGTGCACAGGGCGGCTGGCAGGGACATGGGGAGCAGTAAGGAACGCCGCAGTAGTATCCAGAGACTGCCCTCTAATTGTGAATCTTTTTTGGCAATTAGTATATAATTTACATGATTATATTGTATAATTAAAACTAGAGTAAAAGGTAATTAACCTCTACTCAATAAACTGAGCTCATCTATGTCATCTAGGAAGCCAACAGGAGTACCATCCATAGACACTGGGGCCAGCAGGTGGCGTAGTGGTTAAGGCGTTGGACTGCCACATGGCTGACCAAGGCTTTATATCTCACCTTCTGTCTCGCTGTCTCTCCTAGACCTGGTGACTTGAAAATCACTCTGGGTGCCTATGTGTGTACCCAAAATCCCAGGAGGAGAATGTTGGAGAAGGGATTGCAGCATGGTCATTTTCCCTGGGGGTGGGGGTGGGGGGGATCTCTCACTTTGTTTTTCCCTCTCTCTGATGAGCACATATGCCTTATGGCAAAAACTTGGAAAAATAATAAAAATTTAAAAATGAGCCCAGGGACCAGCAGATGGCATAATGGTAAGGTTGCTGAACTCCCACATGGTCGGCAGCAGTTTGAGTCCCAGACCTGGAGGCTTGAAATTCACACCAGGTGTGTGTGCATGCATGTCCAAAATCCCGAGAGGAGAATGGAGAAGAGGTTACAGTGTTACAGTGTGGCCATACTCTCCGTGGGGTTGATTTCTCACCTACTGTCTCGCTGTCTGTCCAGTGAACACATGTGCCCTATAGCAAAAAAATAAAAAATAAAAAAAAGGCAGCCCAGTGACCAGTGACACAAGCACCAGAATTACAAATTTTCAGAGCACAGCAAAGCATCTATCACTTAGAAACAAAATATCCGAGAGGCGACTGGGATCTTTTCATTTTGAAAATGCTTTAATAAGTGTTGACAACACTGTTTTGCAAAATGTAAAGGTACTATACAAATTCTTAATACAAAAAGAATAAATTAAAAGCAGAATTCTTTTTAATTCTGCAACTTTGTCTACAACATACAGTTTTTTTCATTGATTACAGTTGAACAGAATCCAGTAAGATCGTTTTACATGCTCTACAGTCAGTTTCAGGAGCAACCTAATCTTTTTTTCCCCCTTATTAAACTAGAGTCCATTTTACACGACTTGTAATAAACTATTGACATGAATGTATATGTAAAACTTTACACCTAGTTAACTAAGCAGTGCTTGGTCGTCTGATAGCACCTGGATGGGTTTGCTATATTTAGAACTAAACTAATACTGAATGAAAACAAATGGGAATTTTAACAGTTTCAACACTCACCTGCATATAATAAAAAAAATAAAAAGTCAACCTGGCTCACGACATAGTCTGACGGATGTGTTTTCACCGGCCTTCCGGCGTAAACGAGCAATTTCTTATACACATCCAAAGAATCCAATAGGGGCTTCAGATCAGACCAGGGGCTTCACAGCCCATTTGATTTTGTTTTAAACAAATAGGGATATATAAAGAGTTTGCAAGTGCTTGTATACAATAACTACATCATTTCCCACCACACCGATTAGTCACGTCGGTCTCAAGGACCAACCCTTTAAGTACACTGCCTCTTAACTGAACGCAGCTAAACAGTAAAACCTGTTTTACGTCATCTGTCTTTACTACCAGACTCGCATGATGTTTGCTGGAACTGTGTCTCCTGCTCCCGCCTATTCCTCTCTGGCCCCTCGAATCTAAAATGGAACCCAAGTTTTTAGAAAGAATTTCTGCCTCTCATTCCTTGTAACTCAACTGGGCTGACCGCTGATCTCATTCACTTCAGACTCGACGGCAAACGGCTGGGCACGCGTGACCTGTAACCACGGAACCTCATCACCTTCTCTTCAGACTGATTATTCACGTATCTTCTTTTGGGAGAAAGAAAAATGGCCCAATATATAATGTGTTCGAATGGGGGAGGAAAAAAAATACTGTGGTTTGTAGCTCGGACCAGTAAAATAAAAGTAACAGCACAACGAAAACCTCCAGTCAATCCCAGAATCGTTTATTAGTAACATTGAACCAGTTTCAGCTTATCCTGCAAGGTTTACCCCTAAAACGTTCTGGAAATGTTAACCCCTCTGCAAGCTGGACTCACCAACCCACCCGAGCACAGAGCTGGGGAAACCAGGCCCTGAATTGTTGACAGGGAAGGGACAGAGGGGGTTGTGGCCCACCTTGTCCTTGTCTGGTCCCACCCTGGTCCAAGTGCTCTCAGCTGCAGCAGAGGGGCCCTGGGGTTATCGATTTCATTTTCACGTCCATTCCTACCCTCCTGGTCTGGTAGCGTCTATTGTTATTCTTGGATTACACATACATGAAAAACAAAGATTTTTTTTTTTTCTTTTTGCACTAAAGCTAACTTCAGTTCTGCTTTTCCCCAAAACTACTCCCACCCCGGCTCCTGTCCCTGGCTGTTGAATGCCTTTCCAATAGGAAGTCATTACAAGTGAGAAAAAAAATCCTCCCCCCACCCCCACTTGCGCCAACAAGCACAGCATACCACCTCTGTGGAGACCTTTTTGTGCCATCTTGAATCACCCAACTAATATTGTGCACTTGTCAGTTATTATAAAAGTGTTTTTGAGGCCTTTGAAGATTGATGGCTTTCCAGTTGTGTATTAAGCATAGCTCAAAACACATGTAAACGTGCAGCTCCCACACATGTCACTGTTTTCTTCCTCCTTTCTTCCTCTTTTGGTATCTGCAGACGAATCTGGTGCATCGAGGGAACAGATCATGTTGCAGGTACGTGGGCCCTTCGGGAGCTGATATGTTGGCAACCCTGCTCTGCCTGCAGCTAGTAGACACGTGAGTCAGATCTTTCTACCTACGGGCATAGTTGGGTTTTTTGAGTAAGAGACACATCGAAGTCGGATCTGAGCTCTTTGACACACAAGTGCTAACAAACATAAAATGAGCCACAACGGGTAAACACTTGAATGGATCGCAATGTGCTTTTTCCCTTGGTTTCCCATAAAAAAGAAAATGAAACGCCTTGTGCAAAAAAAAAAAAAAAAGGATACACGTTTACTGGGATTTTAATGCAAGAGAACCACTTTTGGCAAGGATCACCTTCTGTTTACTACAAATCCCCCAAGGAAAGCAGCTTTGTGTCTGGGCTCAGGCCGAAGCACCTGCGTGGACCAGGGCGAATCATACACTCTGCTATTCCCCGTGGGTCTGAGAGTCCAGACTGATGGAGATTCGGAGCCACGACTCCGTCTTCCTTATCACATCGGGCGAGTTTTTCAGGCTCTCTACTGAGAGAGAAGTGGACCGTGAAGGGAGAGAGATGAAGAGAGGACCCAGTTTACAAATGTTAGACTTTTTCTTGTGGTGTGTAGTAGTAGCAGTTTGGGAATGTCAAAGAAATTTCATTGCAGAAAGAATGTCTTCCTCTTGGCCCCTCTTATTATTTTTTTTAATCTTGTTCTTTTATTTAATCTTTGGCAGCATAGAACTGATTGTGATCCTCTGATGCAACTCTGAAGTGTTAGGCTTCCATTTTCAACCTCTCCTTCCCCCCACAGCTACCCTCCTCCCCCAAGCTGTCTCATTACAGAATATTTCAGGGGCAAACTGAATATTCCCATGAGGCGTCCTCTTTGTGGAGTGCTCGGTTGGCCTACAGGGTGCAGGCTGGACGCAGCTCCATAGTCTTTCTGGATCACCCTGAACTTAAGTCCCCTTTGCTGTTTTCCACCAACGTTAACTTGTCCGCAGGAATTCGATACCAGCTGGCTTCCCTGATAGTTCCTGGCCCAAGGGCTGTCATGGCAGGGGGAAGCTACCGAGGTGCCGTTGAGGATTGGCGCCTGGCTCTCTGTGGGCAAGAGAGCCAGGGGACACACAGTGGGACCGGAACCTTCCAGAATGTCTCCTCAGTCAGGGTTTTGAGGGTGAAGGGATGCGGAGACAGGAGAAAAAAAGTGCTGAGGGCTGAAGCTGGTGCAGGGTGCCAGTGCGTCTGGGTAAGGCAAATGAGAGGCAGTGAGGTGATCTCAGAATGGCGTGGAGGCGGTCAGATCAGGCCGGGCTGGCTCACACGAGGGTCCCGGGCTTGACTTTTTCCTGCCCGTACCACTGGACGTCAGCTAGTTCTGGATAGAGGGAGGGATCCAGGAAACAGCTATCATTGTAGCTCCTGTGGGGAGTGCAAGAATAGAGGGAAGTGGTCAGTGGGGATCCACCTTGACGGGCTGCATGCAGAAGCTAGTATTCACTCCTAGGGCCCTCCAGTGGCCAGCAGTCTTCCCCAGTCAGAAGGACTGAGGCTTGGCATGCTCACAGCCATGCTGACTACTGGGCAGCCTCTCAAGAACTCAAAGCAACACATGAAAGGGACCTCCTGAAACCTCGAGCCTCTGTGATGGAGGAAAACGCAAGCAAACACATAGTAATGCAGTAGTTCTCAGGCTGGATTCTTCCTGGACTCACTCAGGGACTCTTAAAAATACATCTGGGCCCCACCCTGGAGATGTTGGTTTAATTGGTGTAGGGTGTGCTTGAGCCCTGGGGGTTTTCAAAGAGATTCCTCGGGATCATTTTTCCTACACAATAGTTACTTGGCTTATTCTCCAGGAGATCTGAGAGTAACCATATTGTATTAGTAAAATTCCATCCTGTTCTAGAATATTCCAAATGTGAGGTTTCCCTAGAGTGAAACTGAGGTGATATTTTGAATTGATATTTAAAAGTTTTTTTTTAAATCAATGCTGTTTATTTTTTTTCTAAATAACATATTGTGTTGTGATAAGAAAGTGTTCATTTAAAATATGTAGGAAGGTAAATAGAAGAAAATAAATGACTTTTTAAAAAGTCTTTTTTTTTTTTTTTGGAGAGGTTTTTGCTATAGGGCGCGTGCGCTCGCTGGACAGACAGAGAGGCAGAAAGCGAGAAATCACCCCCCAGGGGGGATGGCCACGCTGCAATCCCTTCTCCTCCATTCTCCTCTCGGGGCCTTGGGCATGCACGCACATGCGCCCGGCGTGAGTTTAAGCCACTGGGTCCGGGACGTGAACCGCAGTCAACTACATGGGAGTCCAGCGACATAGCCATTACACTAACTGCTGGTCCCAACTTTTTAAAAAGTCTTTTTCAGAGCCAACAGGTGGAGTGGAGGTTAAGATGGCTGGATCTCACATGGAGAACTGCAGGGTTCTGGACCAGGGGGAATGAAATACATGGCAGGTATATGTGCATGCATGCCCAAAATCCTGAGAGGAGAATGGAGGAGAAGGGATTGCAGCGTGGCCATTCCCCCCGGGGAGTGATTTCCCACTTTCCCTCTGTATCTATCTCTGGTGTACATGTGCCCTGTATCAAAAAAAAAAAAAAAAAAAAAAAAAGAAGAGGAAAAAAGTCTATCTCAGGTCTGCATTATTATTTAGGTTGGGTAGAAGTAACTAAATACAAAGACATGATCGTATAGATATGCTGAAGCCAATGATCACTACTAGGAAAAAGCCCCCTTCAACTCTCCTAAACTAGCTTTTTTCATCCTTTCCCTGCAGCTGATCTCACCATACAGTGTCGGGGCATGGCTGGGGTGAGCCACAGGATGACACCCTAATCAAGTGCAGCTTAAAGGGAAGTGAGTTTGAAGAGCATCTTAACAACAAACACAGCCTCCAGTATCGGTTTGATTCAGAATAATCAGTCATCCCCATTTTACTATTTCATTTGTTGACTTCTCTAAGAACACACGGATAAAGGCATTCTAGACTTTGTAAAAGCTCCTATCTGGCCTTGAAAAATGCATGAAAGCTGGAAAATCCCGAGGCATTTGTGAGCATAACAGAGGATTTTAATGAGAGCGCTGTGCTTGGAGCGCCAAACATACACCAGGGCTGATTCTGCTTGAAGGGAGCCTTGGAACAAAGTTAAAAAGGTCTTTAATTAGGATACTGGCCGTGGATGGGATATATTTTGGAGTCGGTGGATGATCCTGCTGCACCCACCCTGTAGGCAGAGTATCTCCCCTCTGTCTCCTATAAGCCTTTGAAGTCAGGCTTGTGCGATAGTTCTGCAAACTCGAAAGGGATCCTGTAACCTCTGACCTCTTGGCATTTCTCTCTCTCTCTTTTTTTTAGGGAATTATTTCTTCAATTTTATTAATAATAATTGTTTTGAGAGGTTTGTGCTATAGGACGCGTACACTCGGCAGAAAGAGAGAGAGAGACATAGAGACAGAAAGCGAGAAATCACCCCCCAGTGGGGATGGCCATGCCGCAATCCCTTCTCCTCCATTCTCCTCTCGGGATCTTGGGCACGCACGCACATGCGCCCGGCGTGAGTTTAAGCCACCAGGTCCGGGACTCAAACCATGGCTGACAACCTGGGAGTCCAGTGACATAGCCATTACGCCAACTGCTGGTCCCAATAATAATAATCATTATTGTTATTTTTCAGTTCACCAGAAAGAGACAGACAGACAGAGGGAAAGTGAGAAAGCAAGCTGCCAGATCCAGGACTCAAGTCATGGTCATGCATGTGGTAATCCAGTGCCTCAACCACTGTGCCACTGCTGTCCCACATTTTGTTTTTAACTCAAGTCTTGGGACACCTACTGTGGAAGGCTACAGTTTCCCAATCCCATTATGTATCTCCTGATTTTCCTTTTTTTTTAAATGTGAATTTGAACTTATGGAACTATGGGTCTCTAGCATGATTCCTGGAATAAACTCAGGGTTCAGGCTTTTTCTTTTTTATAACATCTAACAAACGTATAATTTTTTTCCACTTTTGTATGGTGTCCTTATCTTTTTATAATAGTTACCTCTTGAAATGTTTTAAATGTCTAATATCCCAGTTAGATGGTAACTTCCCCAAGACCCAGAACCAGACAAGCTGTTACTATTTTATGCCCACGGTGGCAGTGCGTTGGTTCGCCCAGGGATCTCGTTAAATGCAGATTTGGATTCGGCAGGCCAGGGTGCTGCCCAGCAGCTCTAACGAGCTTCTTGGTGATGATGACAATGAGGAGGATGCTGGTCCTATGGATTACATTTGCAAAAGCAGGGCTCTGCAGCATTTGGTACACAGCTGCCACTGAAGAATGTTGGGATAGGGGCCAGCAGATGGTGCGGTGTTTGGGGCACTGGATTGCCACATGGTTGACTGCAGTTCAAGTCCCGGACCCGGCAATTATGCTGGGTACATGTACATGAGTGCCCAAAATCCTGAGAGAGGAATGGAGGAGAAGGGATTGTGGCATGGCCATCCTCTTTGGGGGATGATTTCTCACTCTCTCTTTTTGTCTCTGTCTTTCTATGGTGAGTGCACATGCCCAATGGCAAAAACCTAAAGAAAAAGGGGGCTGGGCAGGTGGCATAGAGGTTAAGGCCCTGGACTCCTACATGGTTGACCATGGTTCAAGTCCCACACCTGGCAGCTTGCTTTCTTACCTTTCCCTTCTCTCTGTCTCTCTGATCAAATTAAAAAATAGTAATAGGGGCGAGCAGGTGACATAGTGGTTACAACTCTGGACTCCCATGTGGCTGACTGCGGTTCGAGTCTTAGATCTAGTGGCTTGAAATTTAGACCAGGCGTGTGTGCGTGTGTGCCCAAAGTTCTGAGAGGAGAATGGAGGAGAAGGGATTGCAGTGTGGCTATCTCCCATGGGTTGATTTCTCACTATCTTTGTGTCTCTGTCTCCCTCCGGCAATCTCATGTACCCTCTAGCAAAAAATCTCTCAACATAATAACTAAAATAATCTAAAATTATTAAAAAAAAAAAAGAATACCGAGATAAAACGATGGGTGATCTTTGAGGCTTCTGGCTCAACTCAGTCTGCCCTTGGTGCTTTGAAACTTGAGTCACAGTGATGCTGTTCTCTTCTTGAGTACTGACTTCTAAGCCAGCAGAAACTTTAACAAATACTAGTATGGACATGGGGCCTGGGGAAGCCTCAAACACGCTTTGGAGGGCTTTTTTGAAAAGGAGCCCTGGGATTCTCTAACATCCAATGTAAAAACAGGCATGTACACACAGAGGTCCACACACATCCAGAAGTAAGATGTACAACTGACGGCTCCCACACTACTCAGATGTTTCCCTCTGGGAATGATGACGGGGTAGAGAGCGCACATGCGCAGCACACCCGGGACCACAGACTCACGGACAGTAAGAAGAAAACATCCCCTTACGATACCTCTATTCATCAGTACTTTGGTGAGTCGGAGACTCAGCCCCATCCATAATGGGTGAGTTTTCTGTTGCTTCTCTGAACAAAGGAAAGCAGGAGAAGGAAGAGAAGAGAGGTCATGTTAAAGGGAGGAATTGGCACGGACATGATTAGTAGCTTATCGACATGGGAAGACTGGTGGGTCAGACCCCCAAGTGTTAGTGACCAATCCTAAAGTCACGAAGACATTGTAACCCTCAGGATCGAGCAAAAGACTCCTTTAGTTTTGTTAGGAGGTCAAGGTTGGGCACTTTTTACCCATTGGCTTGTGTTCTCACCACATCATAGAGAACAGTTATTGTTTGGTAAGTCAACTCAATCTGGCAAGAGGGTTCACTTCAAGGACCAAAATATCTTTTTTGTTTCAAATCATCTTGTGTTCTCACTAGCTCTCTGTGCTGAAATGTGGGCAGGCTTCAAGGCCAACCTCATGGGCACGTCAGAGGTGTTGGAAAATGTCAGGATCTATGTTTGGTGAAATAACAGAATCCCGTATTTGGGTCAGGTAAGACTGGGCATGAGCTGGAAGGTTTGAGTGACCCAGAGAGAGTAGCCTGAAATCTGAAGTTTCTTTTTTGGAGGCGATGGCCTAGCCACGGGAAGTATATACACAGAAGAGGTGGAATTTATGAATTCATCTCAGCAAGACGCTCTGACTCTCAGCCTTGCAGAGGTTTCCTGGCCACACAGGCTGAAGCTGGGCTGGGGAGGTCTCTGAATGTTGTCCATGACGTGTGATAAGGGCACTGGGGTGGTTATTGCCTAAACCACAGAGAAGTAGGAGTGGACGTGGGAACACTGCGATTGGGATGACAGATTCTCCTAACTCAAAAGAAAAGGCAGTGATGGGATAGTGATAGTCAAACTTGAGTGTGCAACAGAACCACCTGGTAGGTGTGCAAAAACACAGTGTACTGGGCCCACCCCAGCATTTCTGATTCAGGAGGGCACAGGTAGACCCAAGAGCTTGCATTTCTGGCAAGCACCCAGGTGTGACTGCAGCTGTTCTAGGGACCGCACCTTAAGAACCTCAGGCACAGTGGAAAAAGACAGCTTGGGGTCATAGGGGGCAGGGCTGTGCCACTTTGGCCAAAGTCCTTATTTTCTCTACACAGCGCTGTAAAACAAGATCTGTGTATTTCCCTTGCTAGGTGCAGTGAGGATTATATGAGCTTGTTAATGTTATTAATAGAAGGCCCCAGCCTTTGCGTACACAGCAAGCCCTCGGCATTGGTTTTCCGTCTTTTCCATCCCAAAAAGCAAGACTCCAGAAAGCCTGTTTTAAAATCATTGCACATAAACTTTCAGGAACAATGACAACAACAAAAAAGGGTGCCAAGCGTGGGAGCCTGCCAGTCAGTGGGGCCAGTTCTGGAATTGCGTTCTCGTGATTCAGCTCACAGACAGCTGTGAGTTTTCCCCAGCCGCCCCCTCTGATGTTCCAGCAAACCCGAAACAGTGGATCAAGCTGGATGAGGTACCCCTTACTCCTCTTACCAAGAGGTGCTGACAGAACTAATGTCACTTAGAGGTGATGGCCTTGCAGCAACTGAAGAGGCAAGTGTGTACAGCCAAGCAGGTCACCTGTGCCTGCCTGATCGGGGTCAGAACCTCCTATCTGGCCACACGGTTAGAATGCCTATATTGAAAGCTATGCAAGGAGCTTTCTGTTTCACTTATTTGTGGTGGTGGCTTCCACTTAAGAAGTCTCAACGTGTTTGTTGATAAAGGACAAGCACTTGGCCGGGACAGAACCTGACAGCAGACAGTGGACACATGGGGAGGCACGTGAGGCATTGGGCCGGGCCCAGCACCAGGAGGAGCGTAACTAGTGCCCTTCTCCTGGCATTCTTGCCTGGCATTTAGAGCCAGCCTGGGCATAATCCAGACCCCGGTCGAATGCTGTGTGGAGTTCTGACCAAAGAAGGACATTTCCACCTCCTCCTCCCACGTCTCCACGTCCCAGGGCCACTGCCTACTTGACAAGAAAGGACACGGAATCGAGCCCTGTAAAGGGACAGTGAGAGAAAGGAGTGGGCAGGAGACAGTGGTTCACGGGGCTTCTTTTGAAAGGAAGAACTTCCCCGTCATGAACCCCCATCATTCACGTGCTGATAGAGCTTTAAGTCACCAGGGTCTTAGCATTTCTGCCGTTCTTCCTAGCTGGCACAGTCTAGAGTCAGGAAGAGGAACTTACCCGGTCTGCCAGGTTAGGATGTGGTGGGGACTGCTTGGGGGGGTGGCTCCAATTTCACTCGATGGTGTTGAGCTTCTCTGGCTTTGAGGTAAGGCAGCTGCATGGAGGTGGCATGGGAAAGGCAGGGAGAGGACAGGGATCAGACACAGGTGATAGAGCTTGTGACCTGTCAGCCTAAATGAACCCAGCGGACAGCCCCCGCTTCTAGGGATGCTGGATCTGACCCTATGGCAGTGTCTCAGTCCCTCTAGGTAAGGTCCCAGTGGAGAAGTCTCTCTGTTTCTATACCCCCTAGGTCCCCAGCATCCCATTGATTATATTTTCTCCCTTGAACCATGCACCTCCATGCCAAGTCAGGCTGATATGGCATCCTAGGTCCCCCTTTGTCACCAACAAGTGGCCACAGAAATGGTGATGGCCTCTATAAGAGCCAGGACCTGAGGCTCCATAGTCCTTTGACTACGAGAGCTGGGCAGGGCTCCTGCAGGGAAGGCCTACTTCTGAACACTGGGGAGACACACCTCGGGGCATTTCAGATGTAGGCGCGTGTAGGTGCAGTGCGAAAACAGAGCTGTCCACGGAATAGGGAGCCTCCAGAAAGGGTATCAGAGCTTGCTTTCTCTGCCGTTCCGGGCTTAGCACTTGCTACTTCAGTATACTTCAAAGGGGAAAGGGCTTTTGAAAGTTCATCCAAATCTGACTACTGGGAATTTATTGATATGGGCAACACAGAAGTCTAGCTGGGAGCATTTAGTGGAAAATCAGCACATAAATGGATCCATTGCTTTTTTTGAGAGAGATTTTTACTGTAGGGTGCGTGTGCTCACCGAAGAGACAGAGGGGCACAAGAAATCACCCCAAGGGGAGATGGCCATGCTATAACCCCTTCTCCTTTACTCTCCTCTCGGGGTTTTGGGCATGCATGCATATGCGCCCATCATGAGTTCAAGCCTCTTGGTCTGGAACTCGAACCACGGGTAGCCATGTGGAGTCCAGTGCTTTAACCACCATGCCACCTGCCAGCCCCCATCCTTTGCTTTCTTGAGAATGGAATTTTTCTTTCATCAATATATTTAAGATATAGCTCCTTAAAATCTGGAGTTCAAAATACATTCCCCAAAATCTACCTACTCCATTTTGATAGAACACAATTTTGATAGAACATGAACAGTTCAGTCCCTTTGTCGGTAGCATTTATAGACCACTGGTTCTTCTAATAAGGCAGAGACCATCATGTCCTTTAAATGATACATGTAATGCAGATACTCTCAAAAACTTCCTGGGAAGTCAACAGCAAATTTCCCTAGGTTTGTTTTATAGATGAAGAAGGGACATGAAGAAGGTTCTAGGACTTTGAAGCCCATGACACACTCCTGATGGTTTGAATAATTTTATTTTTATCTCTGGAGCTTGTCATTTGGCCAGTGTGCCCTAACAAATGAGTTAATGGGGATGTGGGGGCAAAATGCAGAAGCCATGAGGCATGGCATAATGAGTTCTCCGTCTGTGCCCTGTTGGGTCCAGGCTCCGAGGGTCTCCTTCAGTTCCCTAAGGCTGAACTTCCCTTCCCTCATCAACCCTCAGATTGCACCTCCTTCCCCTGATCTTTTCTTAAGCCCTCTTCCTTTAGTCAAATTCCGACTCTTATTTTGTTCTTACAAGGCTCATCATTTCTATTATGTTGTAAAACCCTCTTCTGCTTTCTCATGGGCCAGTGGGTGGCGTGGTGGCTAAGGCACTGGATTTCAACATGGCCAACTTGCAGTGACTCCTGGACTCAGTGGTTTGAGGATCATCTTGGGGACATGTGCGTGCATGCCAAAAATCCTGAGAGGAGAATGGAGGAGAAAGGCTTTCAGTGCAGTCATTCCTGGGGTGTGTGTGTGTGTGTGTGATTTCTCGCTTGCCCCCTCTCTGTCTCTCTCCTGTGAGTGCACACACCCTATGGGGCAAGAACTTAAAAAAACAAAAATAATCCTCCCCTGCTTTCTTTACCTACAACCAGTACAATGCACAATCTCTTATCACTTCATAAGTTTCTCTTTGTGGTGTGAGTATGTAAATGAGTACGTAAATACACTGGTGGTCAGGCCGGGGCTAGCACACGGTAACTGTTCAGCCAGTGTTTGTTATTATCGCTATTGTTTCTTAGAGAGACAGAGGGGAAGAATCTAACTTCTTAAGGGATATTTTTTTCTTCCCATTGCGTATGGGATTGTTCAATGCTCTGAATACAAGAATATAAGGTACACTTTAGTTTGATTGTGAAAAACTTTAGATGTAAGGTCCAGAGTCTCGCAAGGACTCTCTGTAACCGTGTAGTGGTCACCTCACCTCACAGAAGTGGGAAGCCGGTGCAGAGCAGTCACCTAAGACGCTGGTGTCACGTGCAGAGCAGGCTAACACTTCATTTTAGTCCATCTGGCCTCACCTGGGGAGACACTGGCCAAGTCTTGGGGTGTCAAGACCCAAGCTGAGATCCCAATCCAGCTTTCCTTTGCAAGGGTACAGCTTGGGTCTCAAACTTGTTAAAATCTGGGTCTTCCTGTTCAATTTGGCTGAACAAAGGTGCGATTTCACAGAGATTAAATTTCTGTCCTTACTAGAAGAGCAAGAGGGGGGACCAGCAGGTGGCATGGTGGTTAAGGTGCTGGACATTCCCACATTGCTGACCACGGTTTAAGTCTTGACCTGGGGGCTTGCTTTCTCACTTTCCCTCTCTTTCTATCTCTCTGTGTGTGTGTCTCTCTCTGGTCAAATTAAAATAAATAAACAAAATAATTAAAAAAAAAGTGTAAGAGGGATGGTTTGCACCTCTACTAAGGAAGCAGACGCAGGAGAGTTGGCTTAGCCCACCCTGGAGGTTCGGGCACACGGTTCCTCTGAAAGACCAGGGTTAGAATGGGAGGGGGCTCAGCGGAGGGCAAGGACCTCCGGTGTCCCCCATCGGACAGCAAAGTTCTCTGAATAAACGACTCCCTTTTCTCACTGCATGCTCTAAGAGAAAACCTCCTGGCCACGCTGGAAATGAGGGGGCAGTTTGCACCCTGGTCGCGCGCGCTCACCTGACGTGGCCTTGCACATCTGGGGCATCCTGGTGACCCTGCTGTGCGCCACGAAGGTGCTCTGGGAGGAGGTGCTGTACTGCGAGCCGCTGTCGGAGGAGGTGGAGCTGGTGTGCGACAGGCGGCTGTGCTCCTTGTGCGAGGCAGTGGAGCGCTGGTACCACTGGCGCAGCTCATCCGACACCGCGGCGCGGCCCGCGCCCTTGTCGTGGGCGCCCTCGCGGCCCAGCGATGGAGTCCGCAGGATCTGCGAGCGCGACGGAGTCAGGCGGCCAGCGTCGCCCTCGTCGCCGCCGCGCCAGCTCTCCTTGAACAGGCCGCCCGCCGTGTAGGAGTTGGAGGTCTTGAACTGCGCCTTGACGCTGTAGTGACCCTCCTGGTCGCTCTCCAGGCTGCGCACCACCACGGGCGTGGCGCTGCCCTCGATGTACAGCGGGTACTCCTTGATGCGGTACTGCGAGCTGGGCTGGCTCTGGCTGTGCAGGTGCACGCCGCCGCCCGCGCCCCCCGCGCCGCCCGCGCCCCCAGCTCAGCGGGGAGGTGGTGGCTTTCATCTGAGCCGGGTAGTAGTGCTGTGAGCTCGAGTGGCTGGTGCACGACGAGCAGTCGTCCATGGGGTCCGAGCCGTTGCTGCTACGAGTCCTCGGGGTGTAGAAGTCGGGGCTCCCGGTGTCGTTCTCCGAGCCCAGGAGCTTGCCCTGGGACTCCAGGCTGGAGCTCCGGTGCCTAAAGTGCAGTGCCAGGCTGTGCAGTCGCGTGGGGCTGATATCCACCGACCTGTGGGGAGACGGCCAGGTGAGTCTGGGTGCACTCCGGGGGAGGGCTGGCCGGGAAAGGGGCCCCAGGGAGGGCAAGGGAAACCCTCCAGTCCCTGGACTTAGAGGAGAACGAAACACACCTGCTCAGCCTCCAGCCAACAGGGAGCCTCTAAACAGGGGTGCCTGGGGAATCCCGGAGTTCCCAGAAAAGGAACAACAGATCCTCTGCCTGGATTCCCAGCTGGAAGGGGGACCAGTTAGGACTCACATAAGGATTTCTCTAGAAAAGTAGGCTAACGTCTAGAGAGTTGGTTGGTTGGTTGGTTTTTGTAGAAAATGATGATATATATACAAAGAGACTCAGTATTTTAGTATTACGCTAAACCCTGTAAGATGCCCACAGAGTCCAACCTTCATAAGGTTTTAAATAAATGCTGTTATGGGACCAGCAGGTGGCGTGGCGGTTGGGGTGTTGGACTCCCCATATGGCCCACCGCAGTGCCAAGTCCTGGACCTGGTGGCTTGCTTTCTCACTTTCCCTCTCTCTCTGGTAAACACACATGCCCTGTAGCAGATTTAAAAAATAATAATAATGAGGGACCAGCAGTTAGCATAATGGCTATGTCGCTGGACTCCCACATAGTAGACCGTGGTTTGTGTTCCAGACCCCGTGGCTTAAAACTCATGCCGGGTGCGTGTGCATATGTGCCCAAGATCCCGAGAGGAGAATGGAGGAGAAGGGATTGCGGCGTGGCCATCCCCTCTGGGGGGTGATTTCTCACTTTCTGTCTCTATGTCTCTCTCTGTCTGTCTGGCGAGCGCGCGCACCCTATAGCAAAAACCTCTCCCAAAAAATTAATAATAATGATAAATAAAATTAAATAATTACTTTTAAAATGCTGTTATGAAACCCACAGAAGTAGATTTCTCTTTCCCATGAAGACTAAAGGGGAAGGTTGGTGAATGTAGCATGTTACAGTGGACGATGTAAATACTTGCCATACCTTGACTTTGTTGATGATCTGGCCCCTTTTCTAGTCCATGCTATGGATATCCAGCACTGACGCACAGCGACACGGCCCCATGCTGGGACTACGTGTGAAATTCAGTGGCCCGAGTGGGCCGAGAACAGGCATGCACTCCGGTTCTGACTGTCGTTGGGTAGAATCAGAAGCCCCCACCAAGTGACCCTTCGTGACATGGTTTTGCTTCTCTTTAGAAAGTGAAGTTGTGAGTCACTGAAGCCTACTTTTTGCCTTTTTGATCTTCATGAATTTACACCATCAGGCATTAAAGGAAGTCCAGGATAAATAGGCCTCAGTAAAGAGATGAGGACTATCTGCCAGTGCAAGTGTGTTCTGGTTCCTACCCTTCCAGTGCTAACTTGGCCAGCCTGTCCTGCCTCCACCTGCATTAGGAAAGCTCCTCCCAGGCCAGCTGCCTCCAGGAACGGGGGATTCTCCAGCCACCTCCGTGTGTCCCCAGGGTGTGGACCATGGGCCATAATAGCTCCCTTGGCTAAAGTGGGAGTACGGCTGCCAACTTTTTTTTTTTTCTTCTTTTTTTTTTTCTCCAGAGGTTTGTGCCTCAGGGTACATGCACTAGCCAGAGAGAGAGAAAGAGAGAGAGAGACAGTGAGAGGGAAAGTGAGAAATCACTTTCGAGGGGATAGCCATGCTGCACTCCCTTTTCCTCCATTCTCCTCCTGGGGTTCAAATACACATGCACATGCGCCTGGTGTGATTTTTTTAAGCCACTGAGTCTGGGACTAGAACCGTGATCGGCTATGTGGCAGTCCAGTGATGTAATGCCTATGCTGTCTGCTGATCCCTCTTTTCTCTCTTTTTTAAAAAAATTGTTAAAGGGTGTGTTGCTTTCCAGAGAGAAACAGAGAGAAGTGAGAAAGCACCCCCTATGGGGATGGTCATGCCACAGTCCCTTCTCCGTTTCTCCCTCCTTTGGAGATTCTGGGCACGCAGGCACATATGCCTAGTGTTTTTTTTTAAGCTCCTGGGCCTGGGACTCGAACCATGGGGTCAGCCATGTGGGATCCAGCTGCCTTAACCACCAGGCTACAGGCTAGCCCAACCAACTGTTTATTTGGCTTCATTTATAAAGAGTACCTGCCTCACTGGTTCAGGTCTGGCCTTAGCTAGCCTGCATTATTCAAGACAGTCTGGGCTGCAAGGCATCATTTTACAAAGGATGGTCTGGTCCGGGGAGGGAGACAGCCCAAGGCCTGGTGGTGGACTCACCTTGTGGAATGAACGTAGTGGGGACTCCGGACCCGTAGGTCTGGTGTGGACGGCATGCTGGACTGGGAGTTCCAGTGGGGGAGGCCGCGGATGGGGCTGTTCTGCAAGGAGTTGCTTCCTCCTCCTGCTTCAGCACAGCTTCCTGTGCTGGGGAAGCGCTTGTGGCTACTGCAAACCAAAGAAGCCATGCTGGTCACTGCCATGCAGACTGGTACCTTCTCCCAGGGGCTAACTTGCTGAAGACACTTCCATCTTGGTGTGGGGGATGCTCACCTGGGACTCCTGCCCTCACTCCTTCAGATTTCTACTGTGATTTTCAGACTTGCCTCCAGTAGTGGATGGGGGGAGGGGGGTCCTCATCCCTGAGCCCTCAGGCACGATGAGATGGGGCCTTCATCAACCTTCTCTTTAACAGGCTCAGTGGGATGGCTTTACCAGGCCCTTGCCCTCAACAAACGTTCTTGATTTCCAAGAGACAAATATTTACCTGTTGGAGTACCTGCTTGGAGCTTTACATGGTATAATGAAAGGAAATGAGAAAAACAGAAGCAGGCCAAAAATCTTTCCAATAATAACCTCTACAATCAGCCGAGTAATGAGCTGATAGAGCACAGCTCAGATTACAGCTGCTTGGCTCCAAAATTCTGCTAGACGGTGGTTTAGGGTTCTAAATCACTTTGGGGATTCCTATGAGTGGACTTTTAACTTGCCATTTCAGAATAGTTCTGCTCAAGATTTCCTAATTAAGTCCCGTGGAATTTAACAACATTAAAGCCAGCTGCCAACGCGGTGATTCTAAGCCAAAAGCCCGACTTCCCCTTGACTGACAAGTCTGCACCTTGACAGGGTCGGCAGCAGGGGGCGCTGTGAGCACAGCGCTGCCAAGAGGCTAACCCAGGGAGGAGGGACTAGGCCGATTTGGGTTTTGTCAGCCGTGAATGCCATGTCAGACAGCGGGTTGATGAATTCAGAGCCCGGACAGTGCCCCCATATGGACTCAACCCAACTCACCTGGAATGACTGTGAGTGGAACGTTTCTTGACCTTCTCATAAGGCTCATCTAAAGAGGACTCGCTCCACATTTTGGGCTTTATGGGGGACTTGTCATAGTCGTTGCGGTGATAGTGCATCTGCCTGAGCCCCTCCAGGGACTGCGGGGGAGGAGGCCTGTTGTGCGACGGTGGCCGAGGTGGGAGTCCCTTGTGGGGAGACTGGAGAGGGGATATTGTGCTGGTAACCTGAGAGTCTTCTGCGCAGAGACAAAAAGGCAGAAGGGAAATGAGTGCGGGTCAGCCATCCCACTACTGGAGACAGACCCCCAGCCAGCAGCCAGCCTTCCATCAGCATCTGGAGCCACGCTTCTTCCCCCGCGCCAGGAAGATCCCCATGCCCCTCTCCCAGTGTCAGGACCACTCAAGCCAAACCAGAGCAAACCAAACCTAAGCTTCAAGCAGAATTAAGGGGAAAGACATGTCTTCTGCGTTCGCAGGAATGGAGGGAAGCCTGAATTTTAGTAAATACCATCAACAAACGATTGCTTCACACTAAACGGCAAAATGTACTTATTACATTGGAAGTATTTTTTTTTCCATTGTCTGAATTCCTTAGGGAGAGTTTAAGCACCATGAGGATTTGTCTGTGTCCCCAGTGCTGTGAATACCAGCCAACACAGTAAGTGCCCAATAAATATTTCTTGGAGAAACTAATAAAATATATCTGTTAAGTGAAATCACCTGCTGGCAGACTTGGGTATTGACACTCTGCTTTTGTTCAGAAGGAGCTCTATTCTCTCTTAATGTTTTCCCATACATTTTAACTTTGGGACTGCCTTAAATTCTTTGGAAAGGAGATGGACTACAAATTATATATACATATATGTGTATACACACACACACACACACACACACATATATATATACACACACATATATATATATATATATATAATGGCCACGCCACAATCCCTTCTCCTCCATTCTCTCAGGATCTTGGGCACACACATACATGGGTCCAGCGTGAGTTTCTAAGCTACAAGGTCCAGTACTCGAACCTCAGTCAGCCATGTGGGAGTCCAGTAATGTAACCATTATGCCATCTGCTGATCCCAGGAACTACAAATATTAAATATTAATAAATCACTCACTCGCTGGTAGGGAGTGATGACTTAACACATCGATGTGATAGAGGGATCTCAGAGAAAGCAAATTCAGAGTCTAGGGAGGTGCTACAGGAGGAGCTGGCCCTGAAGGAAGGGGGCATGGGGCAGGCAGAGAGGTGGACGAGGGAAAGAACTGGAGTCAAGGCCGGAGGCTAGGAGGGTGGGCGCTGGTGTGTGCAGGCACCATCCAGTGGAGCAGCTGGCAAGGAGAAGCAGAGGGAGCAAGTGAGGGCAGGGCGTTCAGACGTGTGCAGCTGAGCCACTGTGCACATGGGGGTGAGCAAGAGGCCCAGCAGGTGGGGACCTAGAAGTCCCTTGAAGTCCAGGCTAAGGGGCTGGGTGTGATCTGAAAGCCACAGGAAAACTTGGCAAGTCCTTAAGGAAGGGGGAAATCCTGTTTTAAAACTATTGGAACTGGCAGGTTCCACAACAGTCAAGGCAGGGAGAAGGACTAGGGAAGGGGTCATGAAGACGTCTGTGGTGACAACCCTGGGGTAGGGCACCACCGAGAGGGCAGAGAAGGAAGCAGTTCAGAGATCTTGGGGAAGGCAGAGGTGGGAGCTGGAGAGGGAAAGACACAAAAGCAAACCTCGAAAACCCCAACGACCTTTCAGCTGGCCCTACATCTATGTCTCGTTATGCTTTTTACGAAGTCTAAGTCTCAGTCCCCCAATCTTGGATGTCCACTATGCTTTCTCTCTTCCTCTGCCCCTCAAAGCACTACAGGAAGAGTCTAGAAAGAGAGCCTGCTATGGGAGTGGGGTGCAAAGGCCTGGAACTGGGGAAGGAGTTGTAACCACCTCCCTTATCCATTGCTCAGAGGCTCCTCTATTACAAAGGAATCTTGCTGAATTGCTCTCGTCCCCTCCCTGGAGATACTGGCCAGTAGCTGGGTCTTTGCTATTCACGGTCCCCCCTGCTTCCTCGTCCCCTAGGTTCTCCCCACCATGTAATGAAACAGACAGTAAAAATGTGACAATCTGTGGCCTGGTAGTTAAGGCAGCTGGACCCCACATGGCCACCTGTGCAGTTTTAGTCCTGGACTAGCAGTTTGAAAAACACACTGAGTGTGTGTGCATGTGTGCCCAAAATCCTGAAAGGAGAAAGAAATGGAGAAGGGATTATGGTGTGATCATCCCAAGAGGGTGCTTTCTTGCTTTCCCTTTCTGTCCACCCCCCCCCAGTACATAAGCCCTGTGGCAAAAAAAAAAAAAAAAAAAGCTGTCTAATAGCAAGGCCCAGCCTGAGTAACAACCCAGACTCCCTACATCAAGAGCAATCACTGTTATTACTGTAATTATCATTATTACTCTGACTTGGGTAGTCCTTTTATGTTTTCCATCTGAATAACCACTTATCACTGCCTGCCTGAGGTTTCCCTAAAGGGCAAAACAATTAACTGCCACTTAATATATTTCTATATAATTAATGCCCTTGCTTTCCAGTTTTGTTTAATATGCGCGGAGACGGTGCTGTGTTCGGAATTCTTCGTATGATGGTGCAGTGGTGGGTAGGAGTGTGGGGGATCGGTTCTACTTTCCTAAGAACTTCCCAAGGAAATATCTTGGTATCTGCCAGGTTTTAATGGGAAATACTAAGGCTATTTGCAAGGACTGACCAGAGATCCATTTCATTTTTACTATCGTCTCTGGAAGGTAGAGAAGGTTTATTTACTATCTTAGACTCTGTTCATTATCCCAGATCAGAGATTTATGATCCATGTCAATTTCTACCTCTTCCCTTCAGATATTAGGAACATGAAAAAGAAAACTATGTACAGTGTTTAGATTCTGTAAAAAAAAAAATGTGTTTTTGCCTACTAAAAGAGTGAAGCACCACTCACTGAATCACCTTAAATCTTAGCTCTAGGCCACAGGAAATACTGAAATTCCAATAAATGTGTGTCTACATGACAGCCGAGCATGCACAACCCAGTAGGTACACTGTGGGAGACAAGAGGGCTTGCAGGGAGCCCAGCTGCCATCTGGACCCAGCTCTTGCCTTTACTCAGGCAGCCCCCACACCCTGGACAGCTTACTCCCTGTTTAATCTGCACTCTATATTTTAGAGCAGGATATGGATAACCTACCATCCTCAAGAACAAGGGCATCTGAGAGAGAGCTGTCTTCGCTGGCAATATTTCCATCTGAGAAGACAAAAATGCAAAAGTCTATGAGTCGAGCACATTCTTTCCACAAAGCCCTCTCTGGAAAAACCATGTTTCTCAGCTCCACACATCCTTCTCTTTCTCATCAGAACCCATGAGATCCACTAAAGGTGCTGGTTGGCATTTCTTTGAATGGTTCCTGTGGTGGGGCACTAGTTCATCCTCCCCATCCTGACTGTGTGACGTGTCCCAGTCTGTGTGTATTTGTGTTCTTGTTTCTCAGGAAGCTGTGCAGAACAGCTTTATATCCAGGATAAAGGCTGCCCGGCCTGGTGAAGCCACATCATTGTCCCAGCACAAACTCAGGGCATGTACCGACTAAACCAAAGGAAGACAACTGATCTTTTCGTCTACAAATGCGAAACCAGGGTCGGGAATGGTGCTTGGCTCACATGGCAATAAATGGCTCCTCAATGAACTTCGTAAGTCATTAGTAGAGAAAACAAGCATGTTAAATACAGACTCCATCTCTCCAAAGCTTATTTTTATAGGCACCATTCAATTAACCAAGAGAACACACCCAAGGGAGAGATAGTAAAAGAACCCTCCCTGTTTAACTGCTGGGGAAACTGAGGTGCAGCCGGGGATGGGGGGTTGGTTGGTGGTTGCTTGTCTTCTGGGAAAGTTAGCAAAGGTCCTAGGTCTTCAGATTCCAAGGTTAATGTTTTAGCTCTTTCTTTTCTTTCTTTTTTTTTTCTTAGAGAAAGGATTTTGCTATAGTGCATGTGCGCTTGCCAGAAAGACAGAAAGCGAGAAATCACCCCCCAGGGGGCATGGCCATGCCATAATCCCTTCTCCTCCATTCTCCTCTCGGGATCTTGGGCACGTACACACAAGCACCTGGTGTGAGTTTAAGCCACCGGGTCCAGGACTCGAACTGCAGTCGACTACATGGGAGTCCAGCGACATAGCCATTACACCAACTGCTGGTCCCAGCGTTTTAGCTCTTGAAATAAAAAAAGCCATACTAAGAAACTAGCAAGAACCTTAAACTACTCCTCTAGTTCAAGTGGGCCCTTAGGTGCTTCTGCGATGTTGGGACCTCTGTGTGTCTTCAACTGGGGGCAGAAGGAGGTCTCAGACGAGGCAGAAGACAGAGGAGGGCTGGATGACTGCAGCTCCACCAGGAAGTTGGGGCAGTTCCACAGTCTTGGCCAGAGACGACAGGGAGGATACCCACAAGGGAAGATGGGTATTTCAAGTGTCTTAGAGTCAAAGGACTATATTTATGTTCTCCCTCTCTTTTTTTTTTAAACTGGGAATGTACTCTACTCATACTACTTGATGGGCTGAGAACTAGGAACCTTGACCATGGCGTCCTGGAATCCCCAGTGTATCGCTGCTTCTCCAGTAGGCCCACATTTTTAGGTTGCAGGTTACATATGTAGAGGTCTAGATGGATACACATACACAGACACACACATGCACACACTGTCATTGTGTAATTGTGCTTATTTCTCAGGATGCTGTGCAAAGTACACACACATATATATATACAGACACATATATACATGCACACACATATACCCACACTTACAAAACTGTGGTCAATTACACATAAGATTTATCTTCACCATTTTTAAGTGTACAGTTAAAGTGTGCACACGTGATTGTGCAACCATCACTCCCATCCAGCTTCAGTTTGGATAATATTTTCATTTTCCCAAACTGAAACTCTGGACCCATGAAACAATAACACTTCCTTCCCTCTGCCCCCCAGCTCCTGGTAACCACGAGACTACTCTCTATTTTCCTAGAGCAAAAGTATTTTAAACATGCACCCACCAGGAAAGAACACTTGACATGTACTGTCCAGAATTTGCTGACTTAGAACAGAAGGATGAAAACAATCTGGGGGCCTTGATGCTGACGGATGGATCTGAAGCTACTTCCTTCTAGAGTCTACCAGACTCCTAACTCCTGACTGGAGCTTAGGGCTCTACATCATCAGGGAAGGCGGTGTTAGTTCTTGGGCTAGGGGCTCTAGGACAGAGTCCGCCTGAGGGGACTGAGAGTTGGCAGGGCCTACAAGGCCTGCCCGAGGACCAGAGGAGCTGTTGCTGTGTACCCCAGCCACCCCTCTTTCAGACGAGAGGAGGAATGGTCAGGTCCCTGAGGACAGGAGAACCTGGGCTAGCTCTGGGCTGCGATGGGCCAGCACAGTCGGATGGATCTGAGGCTACTTCCTTCTAGAGTCTACCAGCTCGGTTCACAGTGAGGGCTGGCAAGTGTGCTCGCTGCTGCAGGCTGTCCCAGGGAGGGAGTCCTCAGTGACAGCGATGGTTCCGTTTGTGTAATCCCTTGTATCTGTGGGTCTGAGTGTATGCAATGGCTCAATTCTGGTTCTGGACCCTATTTACATCACTTTATGGAAGGACCAAGTAAGGCCCAGGGGCTTAAGCAGCTGCTTAGGTCATGAGGGAGCTGGGGTGTGGGACCACTGAGGACCTGGGGGCTGCTTCCCTAGAGTGGAGCTTGGAGGGGGCAGCAGTTGCACTGACCGTCTATGATCAGCGAGGCCCTCTGGGTGGGTTTCTTCCCCGACTTGATGCGGTTCTCGTTGATTGCATTTTCAATCTCCTGCAGCTTCTTCAGTGCATTCAGATATGAGGTCTTCCTTTGTTTCTTCAGTTTTTTGCTGACGTTGGGGTCACTGGCGAGGCGGCGGGCAGCCTCCGTGATCTGGGACTGAATGGCAAACTCTCGTTCCAGGCGTTCCAGCTCGGCTTCCTGGGGGAGGGAAAGCCAAGCCTTTTAATACCTACTGGGGATGCTGAGCAGGAAGCCACCCATCCTCCCCACCATGCCCCTGCCCCTGCCCCAAGGTAAGCCCTACTCCCAGGGCCTTACCGGGTCACTGGCAACCCCAGAACCTAACCCTGTCCTTGTCTGACCCTGCAGAGGGCAGAGATTGGTGCTGTTCATTACATCTCTGCCAGCTGAGGGCCCTCCCTGGGCACTCCCATGTTCAAGACCCTTGGTTCCTGGTACTTAGTGGAGACAAATGTCCGTACCCTGGTCTGTACGTTGGCACCATCACCAAGAAGCGGCAGTGTGCCCATGCTGCAGGCTAAGGGTCACCTGGCTTCATTTCTGCTGCTCCCAGCAGGATTCATGGAGGTTCTGTGGCAATTGGGGCGCCTTTGGTTGTTGTGTTTTCCCTCAGAGGCGCAGGATACAGCGTTATTTATAGAGTGGTTTTTCTGCGCCCTTTCCTTGCTCACAGGGAGCTCACGTGTGTCTCACCTCCACCCTCCCACACATGCCATCTCAAACACTTGGGACTCTCTTGCTGGGGAGTATCTCTACTTGCCTGTGTCTCTTTTGTTGTTTCTTCCCCCCCCCCCAGGTTTTTGCTATAGGGCATGTGCTCTTGCCAGAGAGAGACAGAGAGAGGGAAAGTGAGAAATCACCCCCCAGCAGAGAATGGCCACACCACAATCCCTTCTCCATTCTCCTCTTGGGATTTTGGGCAGGCATGCACATGTGTCCAGCGCGATTTTCAAGTTGCCAGGTCCAGGACTTGAACTGTGGTCAGCCATGTGGGAGCCCAGCGCCTTAACCACCATGCCACCTATGGCCTCTGCCTGTCTTTCTTTTGGAGCTCCACGTGTCTCACACCAGCCTGCTCACAAAAGCCCTGCTTGGGCTATGCTGGGCCCTCCATGAGGCATGGATGGTGGGTGCTGGAGAAGCTGGTTTCCCTCTAGCCTCTAGAACATGTTTCAGTCTCCTTTTCCCTCCTCTCTGTAGCTCCCTCCCACCTCTGTCCCTTCCTTCAACCAGGGGGGCAGATGGGTGAGCTGCCCCTCAAGCAGAGCACTGGGCCTGGGAGAAATGAAGCGATGGCTGTCTGAACAGGCCCGGCAGACCCAGAGGATGATGCCTAAGAGAGCGTACTTGCTGCTGGCCTCTGCTGACTAGCCAGCTCCTCTATAGCACACGTGTGTGTGTGTGTGTGTGTGTGCGCACGTGCGTGTGTGCATGTGCAACAGCTGTTGTAGCTGGGGAGAACCCTCATGCATAGGCATATGAGGAAGTGGAAGGAACACGAAACTCCCAAAGTTATCAGGCTGCCCCTTTTTCTGTTTCCTCTCTTCCCCAGTGGAGCCCCTTCAACCAGAGTTAGCTCCCAACAGCATCTTTTAAGGTTAGGATTTTTCTACTCACTGTTCCACTAGTGCAGCCTGGACATGTGGGAGCATGCAGGAGATGGAGAATCTCTACCTAACCTCACGCCTAAAAATCCCCTCACAAATGCAGCGGCAGCTTCTCCAAATACCAACCAGCAAGGCCAGGGGGCACCACACATCCCACCTAGGCAATTCACAGCACTTCCAGTTTGACAGAAACCCATCTAGCCAAGGAGGAGATCACTGTGTTCACTGGAAT